GCTGCAATTATCCCATAAAATAATACTACATGTTTCTCAATCCCAATTTGACACACATTCTTTCAAAACTCATTTTAAATCACACATTTTTCAATAAAATAATATTTTTCATGACATCAATAATTTTTCCTTACTTTTTAATCACATATTTCTCATCATATCACTAATTAAAATATATTCTTTTCTCAATACTATCCATCAAACACCCACTCGGTATTATTTGTTCTGTTTGTAGTTAATGTTTTCTTTGAATTTCTTTATGGTAGGTTGGATTCATTTAACGAAACTCGAATGCACGGAGAAAGTGAAAAATAGCTCGACCTATTGAGGAGAGAATGGATGGAATGAAAGGTAGACGAAGAGTAAAATTATTGAGACCACTCTTAGCTACAAGCATAATTAAACCAACCAACTAGTCAATTACACAAAATTTTCGAATTTGATAAAAACTAACAATCAAATTTATGTACTGTTCCGACAAAGGAAAGGTACCATTGTACATGGCTTATACACGACAAGATCATATCTTTTAACGCGGTATTGGTTTTGGAAAGGAAGTCACGTCACTTTAAATAAACATTCTTTAATTCTTCAACAATGTTAATAAATGAAGAGTAATGATATTCGCACAGTGTGGATGAATATCATTACTCATAAATTAAATATTATTTTTATGTATAATTAAAGGGGAATGTATGAATTTAGCTTAAATCTTTAATACTAATTATTACGAGGTTTCACTTAAGATTCCCTTTATGAAACTTCGTCGATTTTACCTTTTTTGAATTTGAATTCTTTTGTAAAAAGTTAAAAGACAGATTTATCTTTGAAAAAGATGGAATGCAATAATAATTTTAACTTTCACTCAGTTTGGTCAAGTGGGCTTCTTTTAAGAAAGTCAGTCTTGCACAAGTTAGTTAATTGTGTTTTTTTCATTAATAATTCCAATAAAATTATTTAATATATGGGTTGAAAATGGAAAATACATTTCCACTAACATGCATCAACACATCCTTTCATGCCCTTGATTTAACTTTTTGAAACTTTTTATATTTTAAAAAAATATATTGGTTTGTATTTGAGAAAACCACAATATAGTTTTTTTTTTTGCTAATAAAGATTCTATTATTTTTATTCTTCAAGACATTTTGTTGAACACGATGCCGCTATTCGCCACGAATGCCTTTTTTTATGATTGAACTTGAAACATAATAGATACATGTTTTTTTCCTTTTGAGAAGTGTTACTTAATTCTACTTGCACATCTTTTATCGATATGTACGAAGGAGCTATGTGTGTTCATAATAGTAGATCGATAGTCATCTATCAAAAAACTACCTGCAGGGAGGGGGTTAGCACCCGACGAGCCCTGTGGCCATCTGTGCTAGCTCGGTCGAATTTTTTTCTTATATTGGTAGCTGCTTGAGCGGTCATCTAGTGACTGTTCGTACTTACCTGGATTCCTTAATAGTCATAAAATTATAAATTGTTGATATAATTAATTTTTCTAGAATTTCCATTGGTCAGCGTGGTTGCTTTTAATGGTTTAAAAAAGAATCATTCATTTCATATTCAACAAGTGAAAAAGAGTACATATGGAGAATAAAAGATGGAACAGTTTGATATGAATATTGTCCCCACGCACATGCACATCTTTTCTAAGCTTTACTTTCAGCACCTCGTGGGCTGTCCGATTAATTTCTCAATGACTACATTTTCAAAATCATAATAAATGCTTATTTCTCAATAAGTGTTATCAGATTACAACTTTTTTTTTCATTATTTTTTAGAAAATTGGATTTAATTCGTAAAGT